AACTAAAAGTAGAACAAAGTTTGATCTTCATTTTGTAAAACTCTGGGTCAAATCCCTTCTCAGCTCTGTTTATAGGCATTTTAGTCATTTAGGGAGTGTCTGTCTAAAAGGTGGTGAAACAAGGCTTATTTCTTCTAAATTTACCCAGTCTGTCTCACCGTGCTTCAAGACTGAGGACATCAGGATAAGAAATTTACAGGAACAATCAACTGTCCCAAGAAATTTAGAATCACTTTGAGTTCCAGTAAAGCCTCACAAGCAGAGACAGTCATCTCTTATAGAAACCAAAGTTCCCCTCAAGGCATGAGGATTCCTCCAGAGCTATGAAACTAGAACTGAGATAATGATGGACCAGATGTCAGTGCATCACAGTACACCATAGAACTAGTCCCTTTTCTTCATTAATGAGCCTGGTCACCTGTCCAGCAGAGACTTGTGCGCACTTCAATTTCTACAAAGCCCCTTTCCTATCTTCTCTTAACTTTCTTTTGTTAGAGGACCAGCTTGAGCTTTGTCAGAAAATTGTATTCCCCCTTTATTTTCTTTTACTTTTTTTTTTTTTTTTTTTTGGTACCAGGGATCGAACTCAGGACCTTGCTTTTGCAAGACAGGCGGCGGCATCACTGAGCTAAATCCCTGGCCCTTTGCTTTTTAATTAAAGCTTTTTCCTATGAATTTGTGACAAATGCCTCAGTTTTAATTCCCGTTGTAATTGAAGCAAGGACCAGTACTGGCCAGTGACATATATACAACTCATCTGGTTTAAGAAAAATAAAACACTTCAAAATGAACAGAAGATGGCAGACAACATCCATATAAAGTTATTTTAAGTAGAAAGCAAAATGAGAGTCAAAACATTTCAGCTGATAAAAAAGCTCCCCAAAACATTCAGCCATAGATCTAAAAAAAAAAAATACTACGTTACAATACCCCTGAATTAAATCTAAGCATTTGTAGAGATGAAAAGCCTCAAATCCAAATTCAAAATGCCAAAACAAATGGAGAGAAAGATATGAAAAGTAAATTTCCTGAACTCAGGAAATAGGAGTTTCTAGGAAGAAAAACCAATAGCTGAGATAATATTTCAATTTTTATCTGTGGAAACATTTAGAAATAAGGGAAAACACAAATGTGCATACAGAAGAGCCTCAAGCTGGCCATGTATCTCAGTGATACCATACTATGTAGCATGCTAGGCCCTTGTTTCCATAACTAGCACCACCAAAAAAGTAAATAAATAAAAATAAAAAAGGTTCACTGTGTATTGAGAATGTTGATACAAAATGGTTACCTCCAAGTCATGTAAAACTATTAGACTTTCAAGATAATGAAGAAAAATTCTTCTGGGCTTCTAGGCAGAAAGAAGTTATCAGTAGACTTTCAACAGTGACATAAGGAATAAAATACCCATGGATTAAATATAGTTAAGGTCTATAAAAGTGTAGGCCAAGGATTTTATAACTGTCCCATTTCCAGAAAAAACAAAAACCATGATAAATCCCACTTTAGTAAATAACAGTATTTATGTGATGAATGCCACGAGCAAAGACAAATGACAAAATAAGACCAGATATTTGGACTTATATCACAAAGAGCCAATCTCCTTAATGAAAATAATTTCCTGAAAAATCTAGACAAATAAGACTATCAACCCAATTGAAAAATGGGTCAAAGATATGAAATGAGAGTGCAGATGATAGATGTATAAAAGATGTTCCAGCTTTAGTCATATGAGAAATATAAATTAAAGCTATACTAAAGAATGAAAACTATTCTAAAGCATTTTTCTCCAAAATCCAAAAGTTATACAGTGTACTGTGTAGACTGTGCAGAAATAGTCATTTTGATACATTTGTAGCAGAGATGGGTACATAACCATAAACTAAATGGGAGAGGATATGTCAGTATCCACCAAAATTACATGTAGATTTATTCTTTGGCATAGACATTTAACTTTTAGGAATCTGCTCTAGAAATACAAGCTGTCAGCTGGGAATGTTGGTGCACACCTGGAACCTCAGCATTTTTTTTTTTTTGGTACCAGGGATCAAACTCAGGACCTTGCACTTGTGAGGCAGGTGGCAGTATCACTGAGCTAAATCCCCAGCCCCACCTCAGGATTTTGAGAAGCTGAGACAGGAGGATCACAAGTTCAAGCCTACCCTGGACAATTTAGTGACTTAACAAGACCATGTCTCAAAATAAAAAATAGGCTGGGGATGCAGCTCAGTGCCAAGGCCCTGGGTTCAATCCCCAGTATCACAATAACTAAGAATAAAAATAAACTATTATTTGTATATAGTCAGTCACAGCAGCATTACTAGCAAAAGATTGGAAGCAACTAAGATGCCCATAGAGGATTGATTGATTGAATATAACACATCCAAAGAGTGAACAATCTCCAGGTACATGGCATCCTTATTTTGGGGGGGTGGTACCAGGAATTGAACTCAGGACCTTGCACTTGCCAGACAGGGCACCACTGAGCTACATCCCTAGCCCACATGGTGTCTTTTCTAAGTCACCCTTTTTCCAAAGAAACGGCATGTAGAATAATCTAGAGGCAGAAAGAGGGAGCAAGAGAAAGGTGCCCAGGGAAGAGAGATTTCTCTAACTATAACTTGTTTCTATTTTGACCATAGATGCTTATGTATTTACATATTCAAAAATAAACTTAAATGAAAATAAGGAATGAAAAAATCTGAAAAGAAATTGGAACACATTTATGCAGCTCTAGCTTTTTTTTTTTTTTTTGGTACCGGGGATCAAATTCAGGACCTGGTGATTGCCAGGCAGGTGCTATGTTGCTGAGCTAAATCCCTGGCCCAGCTCTAGCATTTTGGTGACATAACCGCACAAGAAGAAATAATTTCTAGTGATTTTATAACATAATTTTGGTTTGTACCTTCTTAGAGTGATAAATGTTCAGTAATAGTATTTTGATGTATTGCTCTTTTGAGACTATTCTATGTGTGTTACTAATTAAAATAAGTATTGAAAAGTGTTGGACAAGACCATAGTTTATCAAGCCGTGACTTCAGATAATTTAGTCAGAAAAGTCCTTTGACTGATTAAAGAAAATGATAATGAATTACAGAATTTCACCAAAGTTGAACCACAGTAGTTTGTCAAGGCTGTGACTTCAGAAAATTTAGTAAGGAAACTCCTTTGATAGATTAAAAAAAGTGGGAATGAATACAAAATTCCAGCAAAGGAGAGCCTAATGTAACAGAGTCTGTGTTTTGTGGCAGACATTGTGCTGGCACTATATATATTCTGTGTCATTTAGTTCTTGCAACTGTACATTGAAACCAGAGATATCATTTTCCAGATAGGTTCAGGGAGTTTAAATCACTTGCTTTAGATTGTCTAGTTACTAAAATAGGAGATTCAGATTTAAACACAGAGTTATGTGACTCCAGTGCCTATCCATTTTCTACTACATTATTACAGGTTGTACATCAAATTTTAAGAAGAAAGAACATCAGGACCTGCAGGTTCTGTTTAAAAAGTGTTGCTTCTCAGAAAATAAGAATGAAGATTACAAAATTGTGGTTTATATGTTCTTCATGCAGAATCAGTGTACTAAAGGAGAGAAGTATAAGTTTTCTTTTATTTATGGTGGGGAAATGTAATGCACACACACTTACATTGTTGTTGGAAATAAATTTTACAAAGTAATGAGAGTGTGGGAGTGTGGAATAGTGGTATACCACTTGCCTAGCATATGCACGGTGCTGAATTTAATCCCTAGCACTGCCAAAATAATATATATTTTGTGGCAGGAGGTAGAACCACTGAGCTAAATCACCGGCCCAAGTATATATATTTTTTTCAAAATTGTCACTGATGGCTGAAATTTAAAAAAGAAATGAACAAAAAATATGGTATAGCAAAAAAGAAAAAAACACTTAACAGGCATGGGTTTTCATATGCTTTTAATTAAAAGCAAAAATCCCCAAGCCAGCTATAATGTTACATGTCTATAACCCCAGCACTCTTGGAGGCTGAGGCAGGACAGTCACAAGTTCAAGCCCAGCCAGGGCAACTTAGTGACTTAGTAGACCCTGTCTCAAAAAGGAAAATAATAAAAATAAAAAGCAAGGCCAGGGATTTAGATCAATGGCACCGCACCTGCCTTGCAAGTACAAGTTCCTGAGTTCGATCCCTGCTACTGCAATAAATAAATAAATAAATAAATAAATATTTTATACCAAACAAACAAAAACCAAAAACTCTTCTACATTTTGCGCTGTAAAGCAGTAGAGAAATGAGAAGGCTAAAATTTTACCAAACATATAATAGGAAGACTAGTGGGCCAGGGATTTAGCTCAGTGGCACCGCACCTGCCTTGCAAGCACAAGGTCCTGAGTTTGATCCCTCATATTGGGGGAAAAAAAACAACAAAAAAAAGGAAGAATAGGAAGAAAGCATTTCTTAAATAAGGAAAAGCTCTGTATAGCCCTTTTATATAAGATTCTAGTTCAAATAAATTGTGTTTCTTCCTTGGAGATAGAGATTTCAGAGTTACTAGAGCTCCATCTATCCAAGCTATCCCTTCATATGTCAACTGGATTCTGCAAGCTATAAATATATTTTTCTTTCAGTTCAGTGCTACCGTTTTTGTTGTTGTTAATGGTGCCAAAAGTTTATTTGAAAAGTGCAGGGTGAATGGGTATAGAAGAAACCAGCTCTGCAGAGTGAACTTGGGCCAAACAAAGAGGAAAAGAGGGTAAAAGCAAAAATAAAAGTACATGCTGCATCTGAGAAATGTGGCACGGGCTATTGTGGGAACTTAGGCACAATAGTCCAATGCTGCTTTTTAAAAGGTCTGCCTCTTTAAGTAATTGGGAAAGAAAATTTGCCTATTTATATTTATATGTAATTTATTATGATGAAAATCTGATTTGTGATCGTATATGCCTGATGGAAATGAAAGAATATGTTGGATTTGCTGTAAAGACTTTAAAAATAAATTTTGAATTTTTTTTTTTTGCCAGAAGCTGTGCTGATCAATGACTTTGATCAAAGCAGAGAAATTTGAAACACGTTTGCAGATGATACACAACTTCCAAGGTAAGATATAACATAGCTCAAGATCAAGATTATGAGCATTCTTGGCAGATTTGTAGCTTATGCTGAGCATACTAAAATTTTATCAGGAATAAGTACAATATCCTGATTTCAATTTTACAAAGCAATTGCAGAAGAAATTGACTTCCACTTGAAACAATATGCTAGATAAGAGATCTCAAATCCCTCCCTCTACCAAACATGTAAAATACTAGATTCAGTATAAAAAGTATCCTTTCAAATGAATGTAAGAAAATAAGGGAAACTTTGTGGCTGGGAACAAGTGTGTTTTGTGAGGTAGGCGGGTGCTGAAGTCATTGGGTACTTTGGGGCAGCCATGGCTTTCCTTTGACATAGAAGCTCTGTGCATGGAGAAGGATGGGAAAGAGAAAAAAATCCTTGAGTCCTGCAGAAGGGTAAGAAGGCTGCTCAGAGACCTTACAGAGGCCTTCATTTCTGGATATAAAGTCTTCTCTAGTAATTCCTAGTTAACGATCACATTCATTTAAATTTAGGGCCTTAATTTACACTATTTCGTTGTTCTAAAACTCCACAAGTGAACTATAATATTCTTAGGTACCTGATTGAAAAAAATCATAAATCCTCAGTGATGGAATGTAGAGTTACAAAATTATCATAGTTAAAATTGTAACAAGTCATACATTTTTTAAAAATCACAAAATGTAACAAAAGGAATACATTAAAATATTATTAGTAAGAGTCAACATAAACAGCAAACAACTGAAACAAATGTAGAGATTTCAGCTGCCAGAAATATCCAATGCATAAAAGAAATGTTTAATATGTTTAATAAGGGATTCTAAAACATAAATAAATGATAAATAAATGATAAATGACTATGAAAGGCACATTTAAAAAAAGAATCAGGAGCACATCAGAAATGAAAAATAATCTTAGACCCTAAAATTTTTTTTTTGGCACTGTGGATCGAACTCAGATCCTTGAGTTTGCAAAGCAGGCAACAGAACCACTGAGCTAAATCCCCAGCCCTGACCCTAAAAAATTAATTGATGGGTTAATGTAGCATATAGGCACAGTTAAAAAGAAAGAAACCAGGGCCAGGGATTTAGCTCAGTGGTGCTGCCTCCTGCCTCACAAGCTCAAGGTTCTGAGTTTGATCCCGGTACCTGAAAAAAAAAAAAAAAGAAAGAAAGAAACCAGATAGATCCTAATATAGTACAGGGAGAAAAGATATAGGAAATGTAAGAGATTATGAAGTTATCTAATTATAGAAAAAATATGAAATATACATGAGTCAATATTCATAGTAGCCATTAAAAACTTGCCAGAATTAATGAAACATATATCTTCAGATTTAATGAGACCAAATAATTGTAAATACATAGAAATACATAGCCATGTTGTTGATAAGCTGTAGAATGCCGAACATAGAGACTTCTAAGTTATAACTCACACTAAGAAAGTATTGTTTTCGATGTTATAATTCAAGAAGGAAATTGTTTTAAAAGGAAATAAAGAAGAAATAATGAAGAAAATGGGTAACATGAATAAGAAGATATTGGGAGAAGGAAACAATAATCATGTCAAATTTGTGATTAACAAACAAGATTAAACTATGGTGTTGCACTGGCCTACAGTGACATGTAACTCAGAAGGGGTTGATTGGAATGTTGATATTCTAAAGTCTGTGTACTTTGTTAACTACAAGTAAAGTTCATTTGGAAGTGTAATTATTAAACGATGAAAACAAGAGTCAGGCATGGTAGCACATAGCTGTAATCCCAGCATTTTGGGAGTCTGAGACATATGCCCAGCCTGGGCATTTAGCAACTTGTTGAGATACTGATTTAAAATATAAAACGTTGAGCCGGGGATTGAGCTCCATGGTTCTGTTACCTGTCTTGCAAGCACGAGGTCCTGAGTTCAATCCCCAGTACCAAAATATATATATATAGAAAAGGTCTTTGGATATTGCTCAGTGTGCAGCCTAGGTTTAATTCCAAATGCTGCA